AAAAAAAAAAAAAAAAAAAAAAAAAAAGAAGAAAGAGCTATATTTCAATAAATGTTAATAACATGATTTGGAGAAACAAAGAACCTTAAAAATATTGATTTTTATTTATGAATAATATAAAAAGCAGAAATATAATTTTCTCCCAAATACATGGTTGTAAAGGAGGCATAGTATCCTAAAATTCTGCTAATAGCTAGGCAAAAGAGGACATTTTATTTATTCCACAACTGATTTTCAAATAGGCTTACCAATATTTTAAGTTTGGCATAAATGTGGTAATGGTAGGAGAAAAGCCTGTACTAAAAGGGTTTTATCCTTTGACAAGTTGAAGTGACATCAAATAAATAAAAGACTCTAAAGCTCCAGCAGTTTGAAGAAAACCCAGGTCAAGAAAATTATGCATTTTCTTGTTACATGTACCAGTAGTCTATTCCTTTTTATTCCTGAGTAGAATTTTATTGTATGTATAGTCCACAATTTGTTTATACATTCACATACTGATGGACATTTGGCTTCTTTCCAGTTCTGGGGTATTATAAATAAAACTGTTAGGTGCATTTGTTTCTGAAACAAAGAAGAAAAAGAAAATTATTCATTTAAGTGAATTGCTGTCTTCTGTGGCCTGGCCAGAGAAGGCAAATTGCAAGTGTATGCATATATTGTCAACACATAGAAATGTGTAGAAGTCACCATCTCTATCAATAGGGAGGGAAGACTTATTCCTCTACATTAGCTTGTAGGCCCCCACTGTCTTATGTACAGCTAACTCTAAATTGGGCTTTGTGGCTGGATAGATGGTGCCTATAACTTTGTAGGAAAAAAATTAAGCCAATGCATCCTTGAAGATACATCCTTAACTATGCCAGCTGTGCCTTACAATACCCACTATTTGTAAAAAAAAAAAAAAAGCGGGGAATGCTATCATACTTATTGCTTTCTAAAGTGACTGCAAATGCAATATATGCTTACTGTGGCAAAATTTAGAAACACAGATGAGGCAAAACGAACTCAGATAGTTTTCATTCCAGAGTAGCCACTTTTGACACACCCTTCCAAGCCTATCTACATACCTTATCTACATATGATATGTGTGTGTATATATATTCATCTTTTTAAAAAAAGTTTTGGGTTTAAATCTTCCATTGTACTAATTGGCTACTTTGTTCGTTCAACTTAAGATCTCTGAAGCCCTTATTGAAGAACTGATGCTGTTTTGGGCTGATATAAATAGGGTGACAAAAATGCTTTAGTTAAGTTTTTAAAAATACATTTACTTTATATGGATCTTATGGGGTTATAGCCCTTTTAAAAGTGTAAGATCTTTTACAGTCAAACTTGGATAAATATATTGCCTAGAAAACATGTTATATCTGTTATTAAGTACATTATTAATGTTAAGTGAATCTTTTCCAGGGGTTGCAGTGTGTCATTGAATTCTAGCACAATATGAAGGGACTGAAGCTGACTAGACACAGCTTTCTGAGGTTAGGAAGTGAGACAGGAGAGACATAGCTAAGTTAGATGCCAGACCTAAGTCACTGATGATGTCATTAAGCTCATTGTCTTTACCTGAGAACTTCCTCCTAACAATGCTTTTCCTTTTTGCTCACAAGACCAGACATTCTCAGGAATGTTTCTTCACCATTTTCTAGCTTATCTTAAGATAATTCACAAATATTTAAACATATATGATGTCCCTATTAAAGACAGTTCATCAAATACTTCATAATTCGATGAAATACTTAATCAAACCTAAGATACCATCATAACTTGTACCATTACTTTAAGTAGTGCCAAGAAAAAAGATGCTGTCAATTAAACAACAAGCCATTCATTTAAAATTTTATTCACATTTCAGGGTTGAGCGTGGTGGCTCACGCCTGTAATTCCAGCACTTTGGGAGGCCGAGGTGGGTGGATCACCTGAGGTCAGGAGTTTGAGACCAGCCTGGCTGACAAGGTGAAACCCCGTCTCTACTAAAAATACAAAAATTAGCCAGGCATGGTGGTGGGCGCCTGTAATCCCAGCTACTGGAGAGACTGAGGTAGGAAAATGGCTTGAACCCGAGAGGTAGAAGTTGCAGTGAGCTGAGATTGTGCCATTGGGCTATAACCTGGGCAATAAGAGCAAAACTCCATCTCAAAAATAAACATAATAAAATAATTTTATCCACATTTCAGAGATGTTTAAATGTGAAAAAGTTTCTTATAATAAACTGTGGCATTTATTTAACACCTATACGTTTTATATTTTAATGTTTATGTTTCTATAGAGAATATTCTGTTTCCATTCCTTACATTGCAGTCTCAAAGTGGGAGCAGAAGCCTTCCATGTGATCTTGAGTGGCTTTATCTCCTTATAATTTGTCCTCAGAGATAAGGAAATTCTCAGTTAGACTGCCCTTTTACCTTAAGAAGCATGACTGAGTTCTTTCATCTTCAGGCTGCCAATTAGTGACTTAATTCAGTTTTTAAAAATTCATCAGGCTTGGAAAAATTCATTCCTATTTATGTGTATTAAATCTTTTGCTGGGCCAGTCTAATCACTAAATTTTGCAGAGGAAGAAGGTGAAACTCAAGCCAGCTAACTGATTTGTCCCTAATCATTCAGAGGGGTTTTTCCCTGTCTCAGGTAGTCTGTCCAACACAAAGTCCATTTCTCTTGAAGCCTCCTTTAGTCTTAACTGATCCAGATATGTTCTTTTAGTTGCCTGAGAAATCCATTTTCTTCTAAATTTTCTGAAATCAAAATCCATCCTCTTTTTTAACTATTCTGCCCCATATTGGCAGATCCTATCTGGTTTCCAAATTTAGAGTCATGCAATTTTCCCTTGGGAAGAGAAAGAGATATTCCCTATTTATCCACAAGAGTAATCTGCTACCTGGAATATATACATAGAAACATTACTTCATCAAATATAAATTAGCTCTAAGTGGGAGATGGTAAAGGAAAAACCTTTCACAGACTCTCACCCTTTCCTCTTTGAATTTTACCTTGAATTATCTTGTTTTCTTGCTTTAAAATGGATTATCTGTAAAGCATGTGATAGAAACAGAAAGAAACATAAAATTAATGTTTAAACTGTGAAATTTTGATTAAGTTAAAGAGTCACACTGAACCTATACAAGAAAGTATAGAAACCTATCATCTTTGGTGGAATCAGTTTACCCAGCTGTTTCCTAAATGGTTATGTTTATTGAGCCACCTCTGAGCACCTCCCCCTCTTCTCCTGCCTCCTTGGGCCAAAAATAAACCTGTTAGCTGGAAAACGAGCTAGATGAGTGTGTTAGTCCATTCTTGCATTGCTGTAAAGAATAGAAGATTAGGTAATTTATTATTTTTTTTAAAGGTGTTTAATTGGCTCACAGTTCCATAGGCTGTACAGGAAGCATGATGCTGGCATCTGCTCAGCTTCTGGAGAGGCCTCAGGAAACTTACAATCATGGCAGAAAGCAAGGGTGAGCAAGCACTTCACATGGCCAGAGAAGAAGGAAGAGAGACATAGTGGAGAGGTACCACACACTTTTAAACAACCAAATCTCATTCGACTTCACTATCATGATGACAGCACCAAGGGGGATGGTGTTACGCCTTGAGAAACTGCCTCCATGATCCAATCAGCCCCTACCAGCCTCACCTCCGACATTCATGATTACAGTTTGACATGAGATTTGGTGGGGACACAGTTCCAAACCATATCAATGAGGCTGGGCAAGGCTTGACATAAACCAGAACAAACTTTTTCCTGAAAAGGCAGAAAAAGCTCAAATAGCCATAAGGCATTAATTAGGAATGGTCCTGGAGGAAAACATACAAGGGCTTCTGTGAAGATGGTCAAGGAGCAGAGTTGATATGTGAAGTATAGTCCCTAACTGCATTTCTGAAATGACTACTTTTGGCAGAAGACACCCTTATTCTTCAATTTACAAAAACATTTGCCATTAAATCATCTGGATTTTTTTGCTCACTCCATAAAAATAGTTCTCTTCTTAGGGTAGGAGACAAACAAGTCTAAGTTTAAATGTTTAAAATCCTACTCATATTCCTGAACCACTTTCTTAACAGTTATCATTGTAGATCTTTCACTTACTAGGTAACTGAGGTTTGTATTTTTGATCTTGAAATGTGATGCCAGACCCAAACCATATTTTTTGAAATCATCAGGTTAATGTGTCCTCATCAAGAAATGTGACCCTCTACTAAGATAACTTTCCTTAAAAATGTGGAACATTTAGCCATTCCAATTTCACCAAATGTAGATTTAATATATTGAGGCTGGGTGCTGTGGCTCATGCCTGTAATCTCAACACTTTGGGAGGCCAAGGCAGATAGATCACTTGAGCTCAGGAGTTTGAGACCAGCCTGGACAACATGGTGAACCCCATCTCTACCAAAATTACAAAAAATTAGCCAAGTGTTGTGGTGTGCATCTGTAGTCCCAGCTAATAGGGAAGCTGAGATGGGAGGATCACCTGAGCCTGGGAGGCGGAAGTTGCAGTGAGCCAAAATCATGCCAATACATTCCAGCCTAGGTGACAGAGTGAGACTCCATCTCAAAAAAATATAATATAAAATAAGATATATTGAGACAAATATATTTGTGTGTGTGTGTGTGTGTGTCCAAATGGACAATGATATTTGCAAAGAAGAATGAATCTTAGATGTGCTTTTTCTTTGTATTATAGTAAAAGACATAGCTAAATTCAAAGGTGCTTTTAATCACAAATAAAAATAAAAAA